CCTGCACTCGCGGCCCAGCACGGCCCCCTCCAAGGCCTGGCTGCTTTTGCCTCCTAAATCCTCCTGGCCTTTCTCCTGCTGCTCTCTCTTACTGTGCTCGTTTCCTGTGGTTCACAAGGGGTTCACAGCTCTGCTGCTGCATTCCCTACCTGTTCCCTATTCCCTACCCCATACAGCCATTCCCTACCTGTTCTCCCCTTCTTAAAGGTCAGTCTGTCACCCTCGACACAGACACTTGACAAAACAGGAACCCGCTGAGTCTAAATCCCTTCCCAGGAAGCCCCATCCACAGAGAGGTCATCAAAGCTCTGTATATTAGACCCAGCCTTCGCTTGGGTGCAGCTGTCCCCGCAGAGCTCGGCTTGGCATCAACCTCGTGAACCCCTCAACCCCCCGCCGCGCACACACACACACAAAAGCTCAGTATTCCTGCGGCATTCCCACAGCATTCCCATGGCATTCCCGCAGCACTGGCAAAGACAAATCAGCTTCCGGGGAGACCCACGGGACACAGAGTAACTGCTGTAGCTCAGGCCCTCCTACCCGTGCATTCTCCGATGGGACRTCGGCGGCCCCACACATGATCCTTGTGCCGCCACTCCGGCCCCACTCCTGGCCCCGCTTCCAGCCTCGCAGCAGCTTCTCCCAGCACTGCTTGGAAGTTCTGATTTCCTCAGCTTTTCTTTCTTGGCCTCGACTGTGGAGGAGTAGGATCATGGGCAGCTTGGAGAGCAGGGGCTTCAGCCACAGGCTCATTGCACTAACTCCCCCACTTGTTCCCAAGTTATTTCCCACAGGCTGTGTTTTCCTTAAAATGTGGTGAGCTGAAAACTGCCRGTCCACACAACACCAAATCCAAAGGCTGGTCAAAACCTAACACCAACCAGAGCAAGGTGGAGGCTCCATGACGCAGAGCTGCCACCACACACTCCCAAGGAATAGAGCAGTCCCAAAAAAACACTGAGGACATAAAGCTGTTATCGGGATCAGGTGTACGGCATACAGCTCACTCAGCGTACGGGCCTGGGTAATGGACCCTTTCCGAAGTCCCTTTTTCAGCCCATTTCTGCTGATCTCCAATCGCTGCCTTTGGACCTTTCTTTGCCCAGCTCCCAGTTCCAGAGCTCCAAGTCACTGGTTTGGCCTCACCCAGCGGCTGAGCCAGAGCCAGCGCTGCCAACAAAGCTCCAGCTGCCCCTGGCCTTTTCCCTCGGTTATCCGTGGCGGCGCTGCCAGCTCTGAGGCTTTGCCAAGGGAGAGCTCCGGCGGCGACGCTCTGCAGCGCATYCTGGCTCCACACTGATGCTAACGCTGCCTGCTCGGATGCGCTCCGTCCCGCGCACGTCCTCTCCTCCTCCCTCATGCTGCACACCCCGAGCCAACAGCAGCAACTACCGCAAACAGGATCGTTCTTTCCCTGTTCTTTCTCTTCCTGTTCTTTCCCAAGGATTGTTTCTTCTCCAAAGAAGACATGTAAAATGACAGGGCAGTGTAATACGTCTCCCCCAGTAAGTGAGCCCCGAGCGCACATCCACACGCCGGTAACACGCTGGCGATTATCAGACGGTGTTGTGACTCCCAGTCCCATTTTGCTTCTCGAGACTTCTGCTGCACAGACACGGGAGGAACTGTTGCCACAAGACGCTCGATTCTTCCACAGACAACGGGATTTCTTTGGACCGCAGCGGATGAATCTTGGAGAAAAGCTCTTTATGGCGACCCTCCCTGCCGTGGATGGGGCTCCGTGCAGCGCTGCCTGYGAGCCGGGCGGGAGCTGACTCGGAGCACCCGCTCCTTACTCCACATCCGTAAGGAACGGACTGGGACTCCAGTGCTGAGCCCAGGTCCCAGCTGAACCCTCGTCCTCAGAGCTTGCCTTGTTCTCCCCCATTTTGTATTTTCCAACTGTAATGAATGACTTTCAGCTTCCCGCTTTTGAGCAGCAATAAGGAGACGACAGGAGACTCCTGAAGAGCAAGAATGAAAGCAGSCCTGTGCTAAGTGTGCTAGAAGACACTGCTGAAGAACGTTCCTTTCCAGGAACTTCCTGGTGGGAATCAGGATCGTAACCCACTGCTCTGTGATTAAAAATTCACAGCACAACCTAATTGTTGTACGAAACGTGTTGTTGCAAGCTTGGGGAATCTCAACGTCTTTGAATGTTTTGGTCATGTTACAGGACCGAAAAACGTGCCCTACACGTAGGAGAAACTTCTACCATAGGAACCAAAGGAAGTGCCACACACGGCTCTCCTCCACCTTCTTTGTGGAGCAATAGCTGGAGTAAATGTGTAATTCCCAGTGACTGCTGGGCCCACAAAACACTATTTCTCTCTCGGCCACTATTGCTCGGGGCTTTTTCCTAGACCTCGTTACTCCTTTTACCGCCCTGCAGGCAGGCCCAGCGAGGAGCAGGAGGGGACGGAGCAGGACGAGGCAGCCGCGGCCACCACCGCGCAGCGGCAGCTCCCGCCCCGGCAGCCGCTGCCCCCCCTCTGCGGCGGCGACCGTTAACGGCCCC